GGGGGAGGGCTGGGGCGGGGTCCGGATGGGCTGGGGGCGTGGCCGGAGAGGGGCTGGGCGTGGCCGGTCTGCAGCATCGTCCGCCCACTGACCCCTGTCGCTGGCCTCAGACCCCCCGGTGATCGTGGAGATGAACACTTCGGTGGAGGCCATCGAGGGCTCCCACGTCAGCCTGCTCTGCGGGGCTGACAGCAACCCGCTGCCGCTGCTGACCTGGATGCGGGATGGGACGGTGCTCCGGGAGGCGGTGGCGGAGAGCCTGTACCTGGAGCTAGAGGAGGTGACCCCTGCGGAGGATGGCGTGTATGCCTGCCTGGCAGAGAACTCCTATGGCCAGGAGAACAGCACCGTGGAGCTCAGCGTCATGTGTGAGTCCCCGCCCTGTGTGCCACACACCTCAGCAGGGGAGATAAGAGGAAAGGGGACCTGCCCTAAACACCGAGGGGGACAAGTTGGAGAGGAGGGTGGCTGTCAAGGTGTTGCTTCATTCCCACCACAGGTGTCTGGTGTGAGCTTGTTCTGAACCAGATGACCAGATTGGAAGACACACAATTGGTCCTTGCCACTTAGGAAAGCCTATTAAACACAGATTCCGCCCCTGGCTGGTCTGAGAGTAGATTTGGCCCTGGCCCCAGAAATCTCCCTCCCTCTCTCCTTCCTTCCCTCCCTACTTCCTTCCTTTTTCTTTTTTCCCCTGGTACTAGGGATGGAAAGCTCACGCTTTACCACTGAGTTACCCCAGCCCAGGAATCTGCATTTTAAAATGAACCCAGTTGCCCTAGGCAAGGTAGCACATCGCTGTAATTCCAAGTATTCAGGAGGCCACAGCAGCAGGATTGCAGATTTGAGGGCAGCTTAGGAAATTTAGCAAGATATTGTCTCAAAATAAAAATAATAAAAAAAGCGAGGGATGTAGCTCAGTAGTAGAGTGCCTCTGGATTTGATCCCCAATACCACAAAGAAAGAAAGAAAGAAAGAAAGAAAGAAAGAAAGAAAGAAAGAAAAAGAAAGAAAGAAAGAAAGAAAGAAAAAGAAAGAAAGAAAGAAAGAAAAAGAAAGAAAGAAAGAAAGAAAGAAAGAAAGAAAGAAAGAAAGAAAGAAAGAAAGAAAAAGGCCAGTTTTCACCCCCAGTATGGGGGATTGAACCCAGGGCTTTCATCTGAGCTACATCCTCAGTCCCCGCTCCCTTTTTTTGCAACAGGATCTCTCTATGCAGTTCAGACTGGCCTTGAACTCACTATGTAGCTGAGGCAGGCCTTGAACTCACAGTGATCCTCCTGCCTCAGACTCCTGAGTGCTGGGATTACAGGTGTGTGCCACCAAGCCTGGCTCTCAGTCCCTTTTTAAATTTTTTTTCTTTTTAGACAAGGTCTCTTAGTAAGTTACTAGGTTGCCTAGGCTGGATTCAAATTTGTTGGTCCTCCTGACTCAGCCTCCCAGGCCGCTAGGATTATAGGCTTGTACCACCATACTCAGTTGTCATTCTGACAGGGAAGTTAAAGGAACCCCAGGGTTCACCCAAGGGCACAGAGTACAGGTGCTGGCAGAGCTGGACTCTTAGCCAGGAACCAGGCAGAGGTTATTCATTCATTCACTCATTCACTCATTCATAATTACTTATTGAGGCAAAGTGTCCCAATAGTAACAGTGCCATAACCAATGTATCCTCAGCACTTCTTGAGGACTTTATATGTATTCTCCTCTCCCAGATATCTTATGCCCACCTCCTAGTATCCGGGAAGCCTGCCCTCATCATTCTGTTTAAAATTGTATTTCCCCTGATTTCCCTTTCCAACACTTTGTTTTTCTCCACAGTGGTTAGCCACTTTGCAAATATATTTAATTTTTTTATATATTATCTGCTCACATAGCCCTTATTTAAGCTAGAACTGTGCCTGTTACTCAGCAGATTCTCAGTGACTGCTGACTGAAATTAGAATTATCATTAAGCCCATTTTCCAAACGAGAAAACAGAGTCCCTCTGGTTAAAACATGGGTCCATACACAGCTGGGAAGGAGTATGTAGCTCCAGATCTGAAGATTCTGGCTATAGAAGCAGTGTTCGTATAAACAAGGCAGCCAGGACTGGGCTCACATGAACCATCCTACATGTGTGTGCGAGGTTTGGAGTGTCAGGGGTCACATTTTGTGGTGGGAGTTGACTGGCAGAGGCAGCAACACCACCGGGTTTCTGACCAACAACCACCTGTCCTGTCCTTCAGATGCACCCTGGAAGCCGACAGTGAACGGAACCATGGTGGCTGTGGAGGGGGAGACAGTGTCCATCGTGTGCTCCACACAGAGTAAACCGGACCCTATTCTCACCATCTTCAAGGAGAAGCAGATCCTGGCCACGGTCATCTACGAGAGCGAGCTGCAGCTGGAGCTGCCGGCAGTCACACCCGAGGATGACGGGGAGTACTGGTGTGTGGCTGAGAACCAGTACGGCCAGAGGGCCACTGCCTTCAACGTGTCAGTGGAATGTGAGTCCCCCTCCCTCCTCGCTGGTGACAGAGGGACCAGTGTGGGACACCTAGGTTACAACTTTGCCCATCTTTACCAGACAAGGATGGGATAGTAGGGGAGCCAAATCCACAGGAAGAAAATACAAATCCCCCAGAGAATATAGTTCCTGCATCCTGGGCTCGGCTTTTGGCCAAGGAGATTTTGGAATCCTGGGGCTACCTCCTCTCTCCTCGGTTTAAAGCAGTAACTCTGAAATCTTTTTTTATTTTTATTTTTTTACTCTGAAGTCTAACCTTGCGAAGCGTTGCTATTTAGCGGGCACTGTTGGAAGCACTGTACGGGGACCCACTCATTTCATCTTCAAGACGTTTGCATGAGGGAGGTCCTATGACTGGCTCTAGACTACAGAGGAGAAAACTGAGGTCCAGAGAGGTTATGCCACCCGCCTCAGGCCACACAGATAAGAAATGGTAGAATATGAGATTCAGATGCAGACGATCTGATTCCAGGCTTCTGTGCTGCCCTGAGGTGACCTCATCTTGTGCTGACATCAGAAAACACTGACTGAGCAGTCATTCATTGTGCACAAAGGGCTGTGCGGTTCTGTGGGAGGAGAAGGATGGGATGGAGAAGACACCAAGCTCGTTCACAGATAGAGGACCGCTAGAGAGATGTGATGGACGGCAGTAAGGAGCTTCTGTCCTGGCCTTGTCCTGCATCCTTCCCTGCAGACCAGCGCCTCTTCTGACCTCCTCTGTATGGGCAGCACCTTCCACCGCCTCCCCACCCTGCCTCCAGGTCATAGCAGCGAAGTCACATTTCCACTCCCCTTCCCCAAGCAGCTCCCTCTGGAACAGCCACTCTGTGCTTTCCTTTCACCTGTTTCCTCTTTAGCTCTGCCCATCTCTGGCACTAGTCTCACACTGAACCTCTCGGGCCTCAGTTACTCTGTCTACAACAACCCCCGCCTGGGTTTGCCAGAAAGTTCAGTGAGATCAGCGCATACGCTTCAGCATCTGGTCCATGCTCAGTACTCTGTACACAGTAGTAATCGGGACACAGCCAATGCAGATTGTTCCTGCAGTGCCATCTTGCAGGGCCAAGCCATGGTAGGCCATCCGCTTTTCTGCTGACCTGTATCATGGGCACCGTTCTATCCTCTTCCCCTTCACAGCTTCCAGTGATTGTGGTGCACACTACTCTGCTTTCTTCATACCTGCCATCCTGGTCTGCACCCCTCCCCACTCTGCTGTACCCTTCCTCCTGTTACACCCCAAGCCAGTGATTCTTTGGTTATTGTTTAGTTTTGCAGTCTTTAAATTTTGAGACAGAGTTTTGCTACATTGCTATGACTGCGCTTGAATTTGTGACCCTCCTGCTCTAGCCTCCTAGGGGGCTGGTGTTACAGGTGTGTGCTACTACGTCTGGCTTAGGTTTATGGGTCAGAGGACCTCCTGGGAGCCTGAGGGGAGCCCCAAAATGTGCATACACCACCACCCCACCTCTGTTTCCAGGACAGCCTCAACCTTGTGTGTCATAGGAGAGGGTCAACAACACTCTTTCTGGGCCTGGCCTGGGCTGGGTGTCCAGTCCAGTCTTCTGCAGGTGTTATCTTGCCAAGTCCTGCTGGTCACTGTGTCATCGTTGTCTCCCTGACCGAGGAGAATATGAAAGGTCAGAATTCCCCAAGGCCATGCAGTTAGGAAAGCTGGCCAGATAAGGGAATTTTCCAGACTCCTGTGGGCCCCAGCTCTTAAAGCTTTGGCTGCCTCACCTCCCTCACAACCCTCCCTCTTGGGAGTGCAGCCCTCAGGTCCCCTCAGTCTGGGCAGTTGATGTCCCTAACCACCAGGGCTTTCCTCAAGCAGGGTCCCCCGTCCTGCTACTGACAGGGCCCGGCGTGATGTGGGGCACCCAGCAGGCCGTCACCCTTACTGGCTGCTTGTGATGTGCAGGGAACTAGTCGAGCATGGTGCCTGGATTGACTTATTTTGTTCGAACACCCACATGACTGGGGAGGGGGTACCCTGTGTGATAGAAAACTGAAGTTTTACTGGTGTCTAGTACCCCACAGAACTGAGCAGGACTGGGTCAGAATCCCAGCTCTGTCCTCCTCTTGCTGCAAAATCCCAGGCAAGTGGCCTCTCTTTGGCTGAGCCTCAGTTTCCTCCTCTGAAAGAGGGTGTGAGGATAGAGCCTCACCAACAGGATGGTTGTGAGGACCAAGGCTTTCTTCACATGTTGCTTCTTTGAGGATGTTTCTGTCTCCCTAACCATAAACACTGGGTGGATGCTAAGTGCTCACAACATGCTCCTGCACCTGTCTTCCTGTGGCGCCTTCTGAGTTAAAGACCACAAGTTCCATTTACACAGCTAACTCCAACTCAAGCGCAGGGGAACGGAGTGGCCTCACCCAGCCAGCAGATGGCAGAGCTGGCACTCAAACCCCCTATCCTCTGTGCCTCTAGGCATCACCCCCACTCCCACGCCCCATCGCTCAGGGTGGACACTTCTCGCCAGAGTGCCACCGGGGCTATCTTGAATGGGAGCGTTTAGACCAAGTTCAACCTCTGTTAGTTCGGATTTGTTGCATTAGTTTGTTCTGAGGTGTGTTGATTGACAGTACAGCAAGCACATTTGTCTAAACAGTATTTACAGCCTGTCATTTTTTATTTAGTAGACTTAGAAACGCATGCGCTGAGGTTCCCACTAGAATCATCACTGGCGTGAATGTATCTCTCACGTGACTCCCTAGCCCACTGCTATTCCTACACATTCATTTTTGCTGAATGTTAAAAATAGATGGGAGTGAGTGGGCCAAGGGGCTTTGTAAGTAGATTCAGGTCAGAGCTATTGCAGATCCAGCGCTCAGTCCAGGGCAGGCAGAAAAGTGTGCTGGACTGTCCAGGAGGAATAAAAAATAGAGTTTAAAAAGCAGTATTTGATGTTTTAATATAATCTCATCTTTTGGAAAATGAAAGAAGAAACAGCCCAATACTGTTTTTGCAATTAAACAGTAGCAAAGCAAAGCTTAACCATATGACCACAGGTGGAGGGTGGTGTTTGGTGCTGATGGTGGTGAGGCAGGGAGGGCCAGGATTCAAGGGTCCCTAGGGAAGAAACACGTGAGAGGGCGTCTTTGGTGGACTGTAGGTGGAGAGCAGGTCCTGGAAGGAGGCAGCAGGCTGTGTCTGAGTGGGAGACCCTTCGGCCATGAGAATCTAATAGCTCATCTCTTCTAACTGTGGGGAACAGAGTAGAGACGGAGCGACAGGCCACCTTGATGGAAATGAGGACGAACCACGTCAGTGTATAACTTGGGTGGGGAAAAGCACTTGAGAGAAAATCCAAGCGAGGCAGGGAGTGAGCGAGGTGGTTTCCATGGAGGTCCGAAATGTCACCTGCGTAGAGACCTTTCTGCGGAGGAAGGGGGGAAGGAGTGGGGGCGGGGAGATAGAGAGAGGGCCAGAGAAAGGGAGTTGGGCAGGTTTCCGGGGAGTGTGGCTGTAGAAACGAGGCGTTCTCAGCCTGCGGGGTGGGAAGGAACTCCTCAAGCCTGAGAAGCAGCAGGGAGGTCAGTACAGCTGGAAAGGAAGGAAGTAGGGTGAGGGGAGAGAGTGTCAGAGAATTTAGATTTTATTCCAAGTGACCCAGGGAGCAGCTGTGGGAGGACTTTGAGCAGGGAGTGCCCTGATTTATATTTAACAAGGGAAACAAAGTTAGAGATGATACAAAGGGAAAATGAAACTCGCTGCTGTCACATAGTGTTCTTTTCTGGCCCATTTTGAGGCTGGAGTGGCCCCAAAAGTAGCAGCAGGAGGGTTTCCCTCAAGGGAACACCTGAAACCTTCTCAAGCCGGGGCCAGTTAGGATTTCAAAGAAAGGCGCTCTGGAGACCAGGGTGGTCCAGTCTCAAGCATTTATTAGACCCTGGCACAGTGGCACACATAATTCCAGGACTCTGGGAAGCTGAGGCAAAAGGATCACAAGTTCAAGCCCAGTCTGGGCAATTTAGAAACATAGTGAGGGCGCTGGGGATTTAGCTCAGCGGCACAGCACCTGCCTGGCAAGCGCGAGGTTGTGAGTTCCATTCCCGGTACTGGGAAAAAAAAAATAAAAAAGAAACTTAGTGAGACCCTATCTCAAAATAGAAAACGGCTGGGGATGTAGTTCAGTGTGAAGGCCCTGGGTTCAAAGCTCAAAATTTAAAAAATCATTTATTAGGGGAACTTACAGACAGAAGGGGTGGGGGCCACTGTGATCCCCTCAGTGTGGCTCAGGGCTAGGGCTGGTGGTTTTTTCAGTGTTTGGGGGAATAACATAAACACGTTTATCAGTGCCCGGGAATGTTTAAGGCCCTGGCTGTGTTCAGTCCTGCAAGGAGAACGTGTAGCTGTCCGGGTCACAGAATGGTCAAGGTGCTCTGCGTTTTCCCATCAAGACAGAGAAAAAAAAAATCAAGGGAACTGGGAATCCCACACGTAGCCACCACCCCCACGGTTGGACACCCTGACTGCGCCCCGCCAAGGAGTCCCTGGCAGCCTGGCCTCCAGCTGGCTCCAGCCCATTCTGTCTTGGCCTTGACCTTGCAGTTGCCCCCATGATCCTCCTGGAGTCGCACTGCTCCGCGGCTCGTGACACGGTGCAGTGTCTGTGCGTGGTGAAATCCAACCCCGAGCCGTCTGTGGCCTTCGAGCTGCCATCGCGCAATGTGACGGTGAACGAGACGGAGCGGGAGTTCGTGTACTCAGAGAGAAGTGGCCTCCTGCTCACCAGCATCCTCACGTTGCGGGGACAGGCCCAGGCCCCGCCCCGGGTCATCTGCACCTCCAGGAACCTCTACGGCACCCAGAGCCTGGAGCTGCCCTTCCAGGGAGCTCGTGAGTGCTGTGGCCTTGGGTGGGGACTGAGGGAAGTAGGGACCCCCCCTTGTATCCTGAGCATGGGTCAGCTGGGAAGATGGGTCAAGTAGCAGAAGATCCGCTGTGGCTGGTGACGGCGGCTGCCCTGAGTTTGCCTGCTCTTCCTCAGCCCACGCTGGGCCCTGCAGCAGCTAAAGGGATCACACCCATGAGCAACCAGGAGCTTCCGTGTTCCTTAGTCAGGGCAAGGACTTGACCGCTGTGCAAATATTAGACTCTCACCCCAGCCCGTCTCCTGAGGACCCAGGTGTCTTGCTCCCTGCACCGCAGCCCTGAGATACCTGGGTCTTCTCTGTCCTCAGACCGACTGATGTGGGCCAAGATCGGGCCAGTGGGAGCTGTGGTTGCCTTTGCCATCCTAATTGCCATCGTCTGCTACATCACCCAGACACGGAGAAAGTAAGTGCCTGCCAGGGCTGATCTGGGGGTGGGGAGCTCGAAGGGGTGTGGGGGAAAGTGGGAGATTGGAGGCGGGCAAGGGAGAGCAGTGTGGGGAGGGCGCATTCTGCTCTGAGAATGTCCCTCCCAGCAGGAAAGTGGGTTTGCGCCACTGTTGGCCAGGTTCACGGCAGGGCCTGGCCAAGTACCTTGGGGATCGCTGGTGACCTGTTTGCCCACATTCTGTGCGCCAGCCTCTCTGTCTCCAGGACTGTGGCTCTGCCCATTTCAGCCAGGACAGGAACCGTGGAGGCAGACAGGGGTGGACAGCCAGGGACTCAGTGGGGCTAGTCATTCTGAAGAGTGTGTTTGCTCCATTAGAGAGACGGGTAGGAGCCACTCTGGGGTTCCTGGGGCCAAAGTCCAAGGTGGATGGATCATGCAGAAGGGGTAGGGAGAGGGAGACCTGAGAGTCCCACTAGACTGACGTGTCCTGCCTTGCAGAAAGAATGTGACAGAGAGTCCCAGCTTCTCGGCAGGGGACAACCCCCACGTCCTGTACAGCAGTGACTTCCGCATCTCTGGGGCACCAGAGAAGTATGAGGTGAGGACCAGGGTTCCATGGCTCCAGAACAGCCAGGGACCTGGGTGCCGGGGATGCTGAGGTCCCTAGCAGGGACTGTAAGACCAAGTGGGGGCGGGTGGTCAGGATGGAACTTCGGAGGGCTGGGTTGTCCCTAGAGACTGGCAGGGAGGTGCCAGGCTGAGGTTATGGGGAGCTTGGGGGTGGGGCCCTCACCCTTCCTGCCTGTGTCTGTGACTGCATTTCCTTCTCCAGTAGTCCAGAGAGGTCTCTGCCCTGGAATGTCACTGAGAGCCCCAGGAGGTAGGTCCCGGGGCCTCAGTGTGCCTGCCTCCAGGCCTGCGCTGGGTCTCGGGGTTGGTGTCCACGTGTGCGTCCTCGTCAGGTGTCCGAGATGGTCTCTGGTTAAGTCTGGTCCTGCCCAGTAGCCCCAGCTTTGTCTATTCTGTCCCACTGCTGCTGCTTCTGTCTGTGGCCATTGTCCTGTGTACGTGTGTCCAAGCACCTGTGAGGTGGGGGACAGGGGTGCGAAGCATGAGAGGGAAGCCGAAGCCACAACTTCCGGGTCTCCCAGGTTGGGGAGGGTAAGGACTTCCCGAAGCAGCCATTTGCAAGCTTTTGGATCTGACCATGGAGACTGAATACGGGCAGATATTCTGTGTTGCCCTGTGTGGTCTAACATTCCTGTGTTGAAGAAAGCACCCTTGAGGAAGGGACTTTGTAGGGAGATTTCACGCTCAGTAATGAGGAGGTTGTGGTGTTGGGGTATCAGCATCAGCAAAGGCCCCAGAGTGGAATGCGGTAATGACCTTGGGGTGTTCTGGGATGGAGCTCTTCAAGAAAGAGGCTTGCCTGGCACTTGGGAGCTGAACTCTGGGGTGATGGGAAACTGGAAGCATTCCAGTCTTTGCATGGGGAAATCTGGGGAGAAGATCCTGCTAACGAGTTGTCTCCTCCTCCTCTGTAGAGTGAGAGGCGAGTGGGATCTGAGAGGAGGCTGCTGGGCCTTCGCGGGGAAGCCCCGGAGCTGGACCTGAGCTATTCCCACTCGGACTTGGGAAAACGACCCACCAAGGACAGCTACACCCTGACGGAGGAGTTAGCTGAGTATGCTGAAATTCGCGTCAAGTGAGGGAGCGGGGGCAGCCCAAGTGGCCTCCCCCCTCAGGACCCTCGCTGGCCCTCACTGGCTGCGGGCTCCCTTCCTCCTCAAAGTGGTGGGGGCTGGGGCAGAAGGGGATGGGGCAGGGAACAGTGAGGTCCTGGGGTCTGGCCTCTCCCTCCTCCCCAGCTGCCCCCTCCCCACCAGCACCCCCACCCCCATATTTTGGCTCCCCTCCACCATCCTTTAACCTCATCCGTCTGGAGGGAGCTCTGTCTGTCCGTGTTATTTATTGCTACCCTCTGCCTGATCTCCTACCCCCATTCCTGGCCCCAGGACATGTACAAAAGGGACGTGAAATAAATGTCCTGATGGTAAATACCAGTCTAGATCCCGAAGGTTTCTGATGCATCTTTGGGGGAGCCTACCATCTTACTGTTTCCACAGTGATCCCAGGGATTCACCTCCCTCTCTGCTGGGCCCTGTGTGGGAGCGAGGGCCCAGGGATTCTAAACTTGAGCTGGAGTCGACCACCATTAAGTTTTCCCTTTTCTGGCTGCTACAGGCTTGGCCTGGTCTGGGTTCTGGGTGATTTCACACAACCCTCATTCCTACATCAGCTGCAGTCAGGTCGTCTGACAACACCAGGCTCACACTTGCAGGAGTCTTGCTGAAGGGAGGCAGGCTGCATACACTCTCCACTTGCCACAGCCCCACCACTCTCTGTTGTCCACACCAGCCTGAGTCTGCTCTCTGCCACGACCTTCTGGCCTGTGCAGGTCAAGTGAGACCAACAGACCCAGGTGTCCATGAGCCTCTCTTGGTTAGCCTGCTGCTCCTCACATTCACGCTGCGTTCTGCCACTCCCCCTTCCAAACAAATGTTAGGGACCAGCTGTCTACTGAGCCCCTTCAGGAAGCTCAAGCTCTCCTGAGAAGGGACCCCAGGACAAAGCTAGGAAGATGAGAATACTGGGGCTCAGAGAAGCTAGGTGATTTTGCTGAGAGCCTGACACCAAACAATGGACACTTTAGACCCAGAAATGGTAGAAATGAGAGTGGGTCAAATATGCTAAGCACACATATAAATTCAAAGCTTTATGGGGAGGGGGTTCAGCCACATTGGGAAGCAACCATTCGGTTGAGAGTGACCAAGCTGCTGCCCACAGAACAGAGAGCAGCAGGTGTTTATTGATTTGCTTGGGTGGGCTCAAGGCCAGCAACTCCCTTTGGCCATGGATGCAGTTCCAAAAAATTTCATTTTGTGATGGATTTGGACCACTGGGCAGTCATTTAGCTATAGGCTGTTGAAATTTTAGTATCTGGCACCATCATCCTGTGCAAGACCTCCCAGCCCAGCCTTGTACTCGGTGGGCTCACACAGTCTGCTTTGCTCAGGAACTGCCGAGTTCCTCTCTCAGCTGTGTGGGATCAGCATCCCGCACACAGGTCCTGGCCTTATGACAGGGCTGAAGGAGTTTCAGGCTTGTGCTGCTGAGAAAGTATGGGGCTGGGCTGAAAGAAACACAGACCAGCTCCCATGGGCAGGAGGCCAAGCTGACCCTGCATCATAGTCGTGGATGAAACATTTCTTAAATGACCAACACGTCTCTGTGCAGAGCTGAGTGGAATCTGACACCGGGGTTAAGACAGCAAGGGGACAGACACACTGTGAAGACAGAGATGCCAAGCCCTTTATCCCATTTTAGTCACCCGTCAGACATCTGTAGGCCTGAGGGAAGGGTTGGTGTTCTCAGAAGCAGCTGTAAAGTAACCCAGGCCCTGATAGCATAACCCACTCAGCAAAGCCAGAGAAGCTAATAACGTATCGCCCAGCTGTGCAGCCTCTAAAATTAGTGATCTGAAATTGGCTAAGAGCAAGTGAAGCTAAAAGGCTTAGTTTTTTCTCATTTCATGCAAAAACATTCTGCCTCAGTGGTTTTATCAGGGTCTTGTGATGGGCCTCTTGAAATATGCTGTGCTACAAAGCGTGATAGCTTACTGTGCCTGGAGGCCTATTTTGTTGATTCAGCCTTTGGTCCAATCATTGTCTCACCTTGGTGTCCCCTAACTGTCTCAGGAGCCAAGGCAAGGAAATGATGTGGCCAGGCCTTGAATTCAGTTCTGGCTTAAAGAAGCCATCAGGAACTTAAAGGTCTAGATTCTCTGGTACAGAGGGTATTATGACTTACATGTGTTGAGTGCTTACTGTGTGTTAAGCAATTCTACATAATTCACCTTAATTAATCTCCATTTACTTTCCCTAACGGCTATGATAATGATTCCCAAAGTGTAAGTACTAGCCAGCAACATCAGAATCTCCTGGGAACTTGTTAGAAAGGCAAATTCCAGGCCCTACCCCAGAAATGTGGGAACCTAACATTTTTGTGAAGGCCCTGGCAGTCTGCATTTTGAGGAGCCCTCCAGGGATGTTGGCCTTCCCTGATGTTTGAGAACCCATAGAGGCTAAGGTGCAGCAAGGTCTAATCACTCTCTCAAGGTCCCTACTTTGTACTGGTGGACATCTTCCCAGGTCCTGAGCTCCAGCCCCTGACTTGAAAGCCATGTTCTTCCCATTCGCCTCCGTCTTTTTGGTAAGAACAAGGTTCTGGGGTGCTGGGGAGCAGTAAGAATAAAGCTGTGGGGCTGTAGGCACCTGATGAAGAGGCTTAAGAATTAGGGAGCCTGGTCTTTGAAGACAGAGGATACAGGACTGAGCTCAGGTGCTGGCTCTTTCCTCAGTCTTGCAGGGAAGGAGATCAAATATAGCCTCTCTCACGCGCATGTACTACCAAATGGTGACTTGTGACAAATGCTCCCAAGGAGAGAAGGAGCCTCTCAGAGAATGGAATGGAAGTGACTTGGAGCTTCAGGAGAGGCTTAACATGGAAGGAAGTCACACTGGTGTGAAGGCCTCAAGTGGGAACTTGTTTATTTAAAGCAAGGCCACAGGGCATGAAATTGGGGGGTTCCCTCCACGGCCAGGATGGGAGTTTCCTGCCGAGGCCTGTGTACTTGCTCTGCCAGCCCTGACACACTCTGACAACGGACCCTGGCTCCAGCAGGTCTGGCCTGATAGGAATACGCGTGGAGGACTTCGCCCCTCGCAGAGCAGTGTCAATAACCAGGGATGCGAGGGGTAACAACTTCCGGCTGTCCAAGTCCAAGTGCAGCTCAAGGGAGCAGCACCATGCTGGTGTCCAAGATGAGCGAGGAGGGGTGGGGCTGGCACCGAGTGACACTTACGGTCCTATTTATGCTTCATTTAGTATGTGTCAGAATAAAAGGAACCCAGCACACCAAACTCATGATTGTTTTTTTTTTTTATAAATGCTTAGGAGGAGGCTAAAAGTTAAAAATCAATCAAGTGATTTAAAGAAGTGTGTTAAATGGCGAAGTAGTACTCCAGTGTGTACAAATACCACGTTTATTTTATCTATTCATCTGCTCAAGGGCAAACAGGCCGTTTCCAAGATTTAACAATTATAAATCATCCTGCTATAAACATGGACGCTACTCTGCCATAAAGAATGATAAACTTGAGGCATTTCTGGGTAAATGGATGCCCCTGGAGACCATAATATTAAGTGAAATAAATCAGACACCCGACTTAAATGTCACATGCTTCCTCTTAGAAGAAAAACTCCAAATATAAATAAAGAGCAAAATAAAAGATAAGAGGAAGTAGGGAGATCTTTTTCAAATGGGAAAGGGAGCAAGAGATGAGGGGAGGAACAGGAAAGGGGATTAAAAAAAGAATTGAAGAAGAATATGGAAAGAGCTTATGCAAATGGAAGGGGACAAAGGGTGGAAAGGAGCGGGGAGGGATGGGCTGGGTCAGGGACAAAATAAGAATTAGGATGTGCGTGTGCATGTAACAACTCCCCGTAAATATAATCATTATGTCCTGTGGACATGTACTAATAAAATATAAATAAATAAAAAACAGAAAAAAGAAATATATTAATTGAAAAAAAATTTAGGTGTTCACAGACAGGGTCAAAGTCCTGAAAGTGTGAGGTAAAACTCAAAAGTCTGGGAAACGCTGAAGCAATGGGATTGGAGGAGCATACTTCAGGAAGGACCAACTCCCCTGAAAGCACAGCTTAGACTCAAAGTCACTTCGTGCTTTTGGGACTTTCTTGTCCAGAATCCAGCACAGGCTCTAAGAGCACCTCTGAGTGCCAGGCCTGTGGGTGGCCCATGGAGAACCCCTCGCTGGCCTCCTGGAGCTGTCACTGTGAGGCAGAGACGAGGAACAGATGCGTGAGTGAACACTTTACTGCACTCAGGTAGCGAGGGAGGGAAGGTCGAGTGTGCTGGGTCAGGCTGGGAAGAGCGGGCAGTTGTGTGGAAACTAGAAGCAGGGAGGGGGAGTTCCATGGGATTCTGGGAAATGTGGGACCAAGGAAAGCCAAAATCAAGGCAAAGGCCCATGATGAGAACATCCTGGCTGCATTTGTGGAACAAGAAGGAAACCAGGGAGACTGGTGTGGTGGCGCACACCTGTAATCCCAGCACTCTGGGAAGCAGAGGTAGGAGGATTACAAGTTTAAGCCCAGCCTGGGCAACTTCGCAAGATGCTGTCTCAAAATAAAAAATGAAAAAAAACCTCAGTGCAAAGGCCCTCGGTTTGATCCCCAGTACTGCAAACAAACAAACACAAAGGAAACCAGTGATTGTAAGCGGCATGACAAAGTCAGAGTAGCCGTCCAATGGAGCAGGATCACAAAGGGCCTGGAAGGCCACAGGCAGGACTTGGGCACTGACTTGGAGTGAATTGGGAAGCTCTGGAGAGTGGTACTCAGAGGGGCTCTGGAAGGGCCTGAGGCTTTGCAGACCCACTGACAGCCAGGTGGGCCGAGAGCAAAGGGGAGCTGCAGGAACAGGGAGAGGGCATGGAAGGCTGTGGCTTTTGCAGAGGAAGTAGTTGGGGATGGAGAGACGGAGGGGCCAGGGTAGGACTCATGCAGGAGGAACCAATGCCCTAGAGGAGGAAAGAGAGGAGTTAGAGGTGCCTCCCGCCGCTTGCTTAGATGCTAAAGAAAGCAGAAGGAGCAGGCTCAGTGAGCAACACTCTGGCAAGTTTAGGCACCAGGAGGGGCCCCAGGGACAGTAAAGGTTAATGGGGTCCTCCCCTTGAGAAATACCAAGCCAAACAGGAGAAATACCCGTGACACAGTTCTGAAGCAGTGATTCACAGAGCGGAAGTCTGAAGACAAGGAGAGGTGCAAGAGATGAGCTCCGGCTGCCTGGAATAGAGGCAAGTCAGGAGAGATGAGCAGTTATGGGCAGAAGGCAGGACGACCAGGCACCAGGCTGTGGTCATGACAGGCCTCTGTCCCTCAGTTGGGTCTCAGAGGACTTCCTGTCAAACTCAGGCTA